AGAACTCGCGAGAGGAGCACGCCTTATGGATGACGTATCCATTTGGAGCAACGGAAAGAAAAATGACCAACGGGCGAAGGATATCGTAAACCTTTTCCTACCTGCCTACTACAAGGCAATTTTTTTCGCTGGAACGAACTGATGAGGAAAAAGGGGAATGGGACTTCCTAGGGACGAAGATCAGGGTGGAAGCAGGGAGAAAAGTAACGACCCGGTTAGTGCAGAGAAGTTTGAAGCAGACCTGGGAGGACGGAGAGCTTACCGTTAGAACTAATCAGGATTTTGAATCGTACACGGGGATTCCACAAAAGAAGAGGCGGCTGTGTAGCACACCGAACATGTTCGGAGCTTTTCCGAACGTCCGAACACGTTCGGATGTTCGGCCGAACGCCAAGATTATTTGTCTTATCTTATACATCTATTTATTATTGATTATTCTAGGAAATTGTACTACCACCCGAACGTGTTCGGCCGAACATAAAAAAAAAAAAAAAAAAAAAAAAAAAAAAAAACATTTTTTTTTTTTTGATTTTTAACTCGAGTTTGGTTACGAATTTGAGCATACCTCCAAGGCAAAAGTTGTTTGTATTATTATTTTACATCACATATATTTTTTTCAGATTTTTTGGAGAACTTTTTTTTTTTTTTTTTTTATGTTCGCGTTCGGAGAGTTTCGGCGCTCGTTCGCATTCGGTCCCGAACGTTCGGGTTCGGTCACCGAACCCGAACACGATGCTACACAGAGAGGCGGTAATTACTTGCTGCCTCCACAGGATTTACCAGATGACATCAGACTGGGGTAGTTCTGGTAGGATTGGGGCTGCTCACGCTGAAAAGGCTACTGAGACTACAGAACTACCACGGTAAATATTTTTTAATGACTGCCTGGGTAAATTCATCAGGAAAAGAGCCCCGTCCTGGAACGAATGGGGTAAAAGAAATACAGTGGATGGTAATATGACGGACCCGTAGGTGATGAAGCAATACTAATGAAGGATATCGGCAAATAATATAAATAAAAGAGAAACCTGACTGGACGACTCGTGCCTATCTCAATGAATCTGGGCCGGGGAAACCTTTTCGAAAAGTCCAAACAGAGTGACGCGACCTGTTACGGAGGAAGCCTCGAATTTTCGGGATAACAAAGGGCCCTGGAGAAACGTTTTAAAGTAAGGGACCGCACTGGATTTTCGCAGGATCTCCCACGGGAATTCGACAGGATCACTTCAAGATTTGAAAGTTGGACAGCTCCTACGCAGAACTGCAGACCAGAGAAACAGGGGTTGGGCATTTTCGAAAAACATTTTGGGAATTTTGGGACTTGGGTAAAACTCGTCATTGGAATTTTTGGAACGCTTGACGGGGACTTTCGAAGGACTTACCGAGGCGATGGATGATTCATCGAAGGTGTAAGGTAACTTTCTGGGATTACTTGGTATTTATTAGTTACGAAGGACATAGTTTTCCATCTCGGAGTACCCACCCTCCGGATGAGGCCGGAATCTGGCTCCGGCTGAAACCGGTAGAGGGAAGCCAGCACACCATAGCCTGAGCTATGGTATTTTTCTCGTGGCTCGTATCTTCCTATCCTTCGAAGAGTTTCTCCTTCTCTTGGCTCATATCGTCCTATCCTTCGAAGAGTTTACAATTTCCGAGTCACACAATCTCTGCGTGTTGCTCAATTCTTGCGGCGTGCTTGTGTGGTGCGTACCGCTGATGTCAGCACTATGCTGAGTTGGCTCTCGCTCTCATATCCAATCAATCGGGTGGCCCGGCCGTATAAGGACCTCAGAAGGTCCCAGCCAAAAAAAAAAAAAAAAAAAATCCAAGAAATCCTAGGCTACCAGCTGAGCTGCCCGGGTCACCCTATTTTCCCGGACGGCCCGGCCGTTCAAGGACCATGGAAAGTCCTAGCAAAAAAACAAAACAAAAAAAAATCCGAAAAAAAAACTATGTTATGCAGAAAAATAAACTGAACAATTTTTTTATATTTTTTTTTATAAAGAAAATCAGTCTTTATTAATATCGAAGCCGGGAAACGGGTCCGGCGTCCCTTACGAAAATTGCCGCAGCACTGAGCTGAGCGAGGCTCTCCGGCCAAGCAAAGCTCATGCCACGACTGTGCCACAACTATATCAGGGACAGAAACCTTCTTCTAAATATTCAGAAAATCAAGGGCGGCTGTGTACAGCAATCGCCCATATCCTATTATCCCATATCAACGGCGGCTATGTACCGCAATCAATCGTATCCAAATCCAACACATCTACAATTGTACAAATCTATAAACCTATGTGCTTGATCACAAAAACCTGTGTACAGCAATCAACCGTGTCCCGATCCTAAACGTCTACAATTGTACAAGTCTACAACCTGTGTGATAGATCACAAAAAAAATTCCGAGAAAAGCAAAAAGGGCGGTCGACCCGGGGAACAGTCCACTGATGCGAGTCCTGCAAAAGCACCCTGTCGTGTAGTGAAAAAATGCATTGCCTTTTTGGTAAACCCTTTCCGCTGTACTCTATGCTCCCAATCGGCCTGTATCGTTTGTTTAATTCCATATTTGACCTCTGCTCGGATCATTGGTGGCGTCAGCTTGTCTCCACGCCTGGTCGCTGAGTTTTGCCTCAGGGTCGCATCAATACTCTTTATCAAATTTAAAATAATTAAATATATATATATATATATATATATACAGGGTCACCAACCCGTACGTACGGAGGTCCCCGGGCAGACTTTCGTACGTACGGGCGTTCGGGGTCCCGTACGGGGCCCGAACCCGACGGCGTTCGGCCCCCGCCAAAAATGATTTCGGGGCCTAAAAATAACGTTTTTTTTCTGAATTTTGGTTTGCGATTTCTCTATGACGTGGGGTACATGCCTATAAAGTTTCAAGTCATTTGGCTCAGCCAAATAAGAATGAAAAATCGCCAAAGATGGCGGTGTCAAAACATGCTCGCCCACTTTTTTTTTGGGCACTTCGGGGTCTAAACAATTTTATTATTTTTTGAAACTTTTTTAGTGGGTTTTGCATTATGTGAAGTACAAATCTGTAAATTTTCGGGGCATTGAGCTATGCCAAAAAAAAATGAAAAATCGTCAAAGATGGCGGTGTCGAAAACGTGCTCGCGCACTCACTAAATTTAATTCTTTTTTTATTTTTTGTTATTTTTATTATTAGTATTTATTTTTCATATTTTATTTATGTTTCAAATTTGGTAAGGAATTTGGATGTAATGCTCAGGCAAATCTTGTTTAATTTATTTTTCTTCATAACATATCTTTTTTTCAGATTTTTTTGTTTTTTTTTGTTTTTTTTTGGGTCCGCGTTTGGAGTTTCACCGCCTCATCAGGAGGCTGAACCCTCAACAGTCTGCAGAAT